ATATTGCATTATTATTTTAATCTTCATCTCAAGTATTGACTTACTTTCAGCACCTCGAGAACTCTTACTTTTTACGCTGCCAGCCATTTTAAAAGTTGAATTACAAACGAAAATTCTTTTGGTTGGGTAAACAGCGATTACTAATAACAACAACGACTGCTAAACACGGGCTATGGCCCCACTATCGTCGCAGGGGTCACATTACGACAAAACGTTTCGGGACTCGAAAATACGTAATGTGAAAAATATTTTATATGACCACGGCGGTAGTATGTCCTGGTTATCGTAAGTCGAGGAGAGACTGTATAAGATAAAAACTGTAAGCCTATAACCACCAAACCCTGGCTGGGAGGAAGGGGAGGTGACATGTTTGACAGTTGTTTGAAGTATTTATTTGTTTATTTATGTCCTTTAGATTGAGTTTTGTTTTGTTTTATAAAATGTCATAGAAGTGACCGGGGAGAATATAATTTACATTGCTGAAATTCTTATAAGATAGTGATTAATTTTAATATAATAGTACAGTCGACCCTCGTTAGTTCAGACTAATAGGGGGGGAAGGGTGTCCGTTTTAGCGTTGTCCGAATTAACCGATTTAGGGGTTAATATTGCATTATATTTCAGTCATTGTTTCGTCACGGTTTATCACTTTCCACTGTAATAAATGCGTAATTTCGCAAAATATTACATTTCCGTGAATATATTATATCAAGCACAGTATGAATAGAATACCATTGTAATATAACAGTATTTTAACGAAAACTACTAAAAAACGAATAACATCTCAAGAACATCGGAAGCTTGGGTAAAGTCTCTTGTTTTCGTCATGTATTTTATCCTATTTTACATTGAAATACATCACGTTTCAGCAAAACTACTATTTATTTCCAGAATATATATTCATTCAGGCGCAGTTTAGGTAAAATATACGTTTGATGTAACAGTTTTTTACTGAAAACGATTCGAAAAACACGTATAGGTAAGTTCTGCTATAACGCGATAATTGTGTTCTTGTAAAATATCGTGTTATAGAAAATCACGTAATAGAAATAACAGGGCTTATGGAAAATAGGGTTTGGTGCAGATTACTCGAAATTCGAAAAATTTAGTAGTTAGCCTAACACAAAGGATAGCACATCTAAATAAATGTTACATTCATATCTAATAATGAAATCATACAGTAAATGTAACACTTTACCTTGAAAAAATATGAATGTAACTTGATGGGGGGAAGGGTGATTTTGAGGTTGATAACATCGAGCTTCTCTTCAAGTGTTATATCCTTTCTTTACGATCATCACCGGAATTCTATCACCAGAACGCTTCTTGAGATATTCTTCTTTACCATATTCACAGTTAATACAAAATTGGAGAAATAGTAAGCAAAAATGGTAATAGCAAACAAGCGTTCGCGTTAATATAATATCGCTCTAATTCATAAATCGCGTTAGAGCAAATTTTGTTATCAAAACACGCGTTATAGCAGAACTCACCGTACCCTCTAGCCCTGTTCAAGGAGAGGACTGGGAGAAGCTGTTTGGTGCTGCAGACGATGACAAGGAAATTGATTTGGATGAATTTTAATGAAAATATTCAGAAATATGGTATCGTAGTATTTATTCAAGTCAATTAGGATAGAATATTATTGTAATACAACAGTTTTTAACTGAAAACCAATGAAAAGCAATTACGGTAACATCTTTTGAACGAAAAGCGAAAGTCATTGTTTTCGTCACAATTTTATCCCACTTTCCACTAATACCTCGCCATTTCAGCAAAAATATTACATTTCAGTGAATGCATTATATCAGCGCGTATGAGTAGAATACCATTGTAATATAACAGTATTTTAAGGAAAACTATTAAAAAAGCAGTAACTTCTCTAGAACATCGGAAGGTTATGTAAAGTCTTTTGTTTCGGTCATGTATTTATCCTATTTTACATTAAAATACATCACGTTTCAACAAAACTACTATTTATTTCCGAATATATTCATTCAGGCACAGTTAAGGTAAAATATCGTGTGATGTAACAGTTTTTTAACTGAAAACGATTTGAAAAACCGATGGTACCGTCTAGCTGATACTCAACAGCTGGTGGTAGTCGTAATGTCTTTAAAACAATAGGAGGTTGAAGTAGATTACGAGTATTATATTAAGTGTGAAATATCAAAAGGTTTTTATTACCAGTATTTTTGTAGATCAATGAGAACTGTGATACCATATATGATATGATAAGTTAGCCTGTGCTAAGAACTTCAACATAGACTACTGAAAACACGTTGTAAGGTAATTTAGCCTATTGTAAGTTGGTGAGCTTCATTTGTGAAGGAACTGCACACTTTTCATTACTAATTGGTACAAATTTCGTTTCCATTGTTTACTGGCAGTAAATGGTAATATTTTTCATGTCTGAAGCTAAAGTTGCATCCCCCACACTAGTGGTGGAGATGTTACATTTGATCAAAAAAGGCGTGTTTTATCCTCAGCAGTGGGTGGACCAGCATTTTAGCTTAAGGTCTCGTAATATTCCTACAAATCTTAAAAAAAAAAAGTTAGTTCGATTTTTGTCCGTTTATCGAATCCGGATTAAAGGGGTCGAATTGACGTGAATTAGACTGTACTATAGTTTGTACTCGACAAAATTTTGATACAGGTGCTCCTCTACTTACGAACGAGTTACGTTCCTGGGGCTTGTTTGTAAGTCCAACTCTACTCTTGTAGATACCAAACATATTGTAAAAAATTAAAAGATATGGATATTTAGTTCAGCTATACCCTTTAATACAGCCTTAAAACCTGGCTCACTCTTCTCCTCTTAGGTAATGTTTGTTCTATCTGGAATTTTCTTCAAAATAATCCAGTCTCATCCACATTAAACACCTGTTCTGGCAGGTAACCCCCTCAGTGATGATGTTTGTATCTCTGAAAGTTTGTAAGTTGAACGTTTTTAAGTAGAGGAGCACCTGTAATCATTTAGTACATTATTTTGAGTACATGTACAGTACAGCTTTACCCTTAGGACAGTGTAGCGTGCCCAGAGAAACATTAGGCGCGAATTTTAAAATATGATGCGCCAGGTTGACTCGCGCAAAATAGGAAAGATTCGCTTTAAAATAAAACATTGTCCTTAATTGTGGGTGTCGCTTTAAATCAATAATCTTAAATTGAATCGCTTTAAATCAACGTTTTACTGAAACTGATTCTCGAAATTATGGCTGTCCAATCAGGATCTTTTAGGCCTAAATATAAGCCCAGCATGACCTACTGAAATAGAATATGTTCACCCTCTCGTCTCCCTACAATCCATTGCAGGGACAGTGAACGGGCTGAAAATATATCCATCCAACACAATGATCACTTTCTTCCTTGTCCACACAAGTATCATCGACATGGACTCTAGGTCCACAGATGTAATGCTGCCTCTGCTCGCATTAAGTTAGGATACAGATCTACCTGGCAAGTATCTGAGGTGGGGAGATGACCCACACTTCACTTCCTGTAAACTCTGTAACTCTCCCAACACTAACACTCTTCAACACTATTGCCTTGACTGTCAGTGACCTCCTACCACAGGATGGATCACTAACCACTATATGTCACCACTTACTTATTCATAATAATTTAGATATAATTCTTGTATGCTACCCTGGCTTTGGTGGGTGCTAACTCCTTTTGTCCTTGAATCATATCAATGTTGACTCCATATCACAGGTCATAGTGTGTCCTGCGAGACACAAGTACCAATGTATTAGTGACTGACCGCATGGTCTTGTGACTAGGCTTGTCGCCCCCTGCAGGGTAATAAATTAATTAATTAAATAAATGGTATGTCCAACTTGTTAGTCAGATGCTCACAAGCAGCAGTTGCAGGTAGTGGGGTGTTAAGCTTGAGAGACAAGTCAAATAATATCGGGAAAGACCTCAGTAGCTCCATTCCATCCCCTGGGCATACCAAGTTGCTATCAAGTTCCTTCAGTTGAGGAGTTTGTGGATGACTGCTGCCTCCATAGTGACTGAGTCTGACTAAGACTCACCGTGAACTGTCCCTCTAATGGAGGTGTGGCTGTGGTGATGTCACTTTTCGATTCTAATTGATGAGTGGCTGAATTTCTGCACCACATAATATCTGGCGGGTGCTGGCGGTGAGGGCAGTGGTACTTAGTTATTTAAGCACAATTTTGAATACACTCAGTCTCACACACATGTATAGATACAGTCTTTATAACTAAGATGGAATTACATAAAGCATTTTAGAATCACAGCCTCTTTGAAATTAATTTTAGGTACAAGTACTGTATATGCAAAGAGCAACTGACTTCTTCCAGGAAGACCAAGCCGCTGAAGGAAAGGTGGGGAGAAGAGAGGGGATATTATGGGGGGGGGATAAGAGGGTAAGCTAGGTGAGGTGGATGGTCAAGGTGCTAATGGACACAAGAAGATCAAAGGGAAAGTCTGCTGTCATGGCCACTGCCACTTGACCTGACCTGATGTCACCTCACCTCACGGGACCTCTAGGTATGTGACCGTGTGGTGTCTCCCCACACCCACACCATACCCTCTCACCCCCCACACAACTTTTATACTGTGGTTAATATTTAATTTGTGAAATTATTTTTAAAATGTATTCTTAGTTTGCATGTAATGAGTAACTGTTTTTGTTTTTCAATTGTATTGAAGTAAAAGTATTTGAAAACCATACTTAAGTAAAAGTATAAGCACTAAAAAAGTTTATTACTTTTTAAAAATTAAATACCCAAAAATGTTACTTGAGTATTGTAATCAAGTAAATTTATTTTGTTTCTTTGCAATTCTGGTACATACTGTGTCACCTCTGAGCTGAATAAAATTGTCTGGTTTTAACCAAATAAAATATTAAAAGTGGCATCCCATAGTGAAGGGGTTAGATTTATAATTACAATTCTGTACTTGCTATGTCAAAGATATTTTATTGACCTTTTATATATATTGTACAATGCATTTCACACAATTTGTTTCAGCTTGAAGTGATGAGTGCTGTCCGTGAGGTTCAGTCAACAATCCAGGTCATGTTGGCTAGGCAGGAGTTCACCGCTGCACTTGACCTTATATCTACTACACAGGATCTCCTCCACACAGAGCTCAGTACCATCAGAAGTCTCAAGTAAGTTTGTTCACTCTTTCATTTCATTATTAAAGGTAACATTGCCAAGGTCATACTTAAATACATCTGACCTTTTCATACAACAAATGATATATTAGTACAGGTATCCCTCATTTACCATCAATTCGATTGTTGATTTTTGACAAACCTTTCTCACTTAATATAAGGTCAAAATAGCTTGACAGATTGGGAAGGGGGGAAACTGGGAATGAGATGACCTGTGAGATGGCTATGCATGTTGCCATTGTTACATGTAATGAAACTAAAAAAAATTATTGAACAATCATTACAGTACTCTAATGTGCCTTAGAAAAAAAGTGTAATATAAAACTATAAAATAAGAAAATGAAGATCATGGGTGTGTTTGTGTGGGAAGTGAATGTATCTGTGGAGGCAGTGGGCTGTAACTGCATTGCCAGCACAGCATGGCAGCAGCCGCACAACATGAGTCAGCTGGATCCCAGACTGTCTGGCTGAACTGTGTTACATCACCCAGAGGATGGTTTGAGTGTGGAAGGAGTTTTTTTAACATAAAAAATGTGTTATTGTATTTTATGATACCTGTTTGCTTTGTATCAGTTTTATTGTTTATCAATAGCATTTGAAATTTGTTCAAATTAGGCAAACATTTTACTCAGTACAGGTAGTACATGTTTAACTCTGGACCACACTATTTATATAGACCGTGGGTGTGTGTGTGGGTGGGCGAGTGGGGGTTGGGCGGGGGGCGGGTGGGTGGGTGTGCGAGATTTACTTGAGTTTGAGGAGTAAATTACAGTAGGCACTGATTGTGGGAGAATGATGACACACTGGAAGCTTATTTATAGACTTGATAACATTAAAATGAGAGTGTTCGAGAATAGTGATGTAAGTTAATGTGCAGGTTTTGGGTGAAACTCAGAATTAATATGACTAAACTAAAACAAGTTCTATTGTTTGTTACACATGTTCACAATATAGTAGGTAGCTACCAAACAGGGAGGTACTACTGCCTGGAAATATATTGGAATTATAATGTGTTGTCTAATGGTAGACCCTGTTGCCATTTGGCATTACAAAAATTGTGACCAAGTCCCAGGTTACTGATCTGTCTTTCTGCCTCATTTACACATAATTGCTCACATAGTTTGCACAAGAAATAACATTTTTAGTGTAGGGTAGTACATTTGAGTACAAAGTGTGTACAGTAAAGTTGGTCAAAGTTTTGGCTTTTTCACATTTAATTTATATTTAACATTTGTTTAATTTAAGTTTCTAGCAGTCCATGGTGCTTTAGAGACACAGGAGGTGTATAATTAGTGGGTCAGAGGTGTATTGTTGATTTATTATTACCTGACCTCGGTTGGTGCGCCAAAATGTATAATCTGGCAAGGCTTTGGAACCAAGGGTGCCAGAAAATCGGTGGTGGACCTGTAGTACAGTGATCCCTCGGTTAACGAGACTTCGGTTAACGATTTACCTTCCATAAGATTCTTAACTTCGGTTAACTAGCAATCCCTCGATTAACGAGTTTTTTACGAGCCGACTTCAACATGTTTTTGCTTGCATTTGGCGGTCCACCAGCTGTAGTATTAGTCCGCCAATACAGTAATTGGTTTTAGGGCTTAAATTCCTTACTATTTTAGTAAATATCAAGAAGTTTATACTATTCAATAATTTTAAAAGCTTAATATTAACTTTTTTAGTCATTTTAACAATTATTGAACATAATTGAAGGTAAAGAAACTAGTTTCTGGCGTGCCATCCAGCCTGTTAACACACCAGACAGGCGTTAGTCTCTCTCTGTTTTCAGTGGAGGTAACATTTTGCTTGAGAGACTCTTCAACTAAATGCTTTTTTTCTGTGTTTCCAAGCAAATTATTGGTCATTTTGAAATTTATTTTACATATTGACAATATATAATGCAGTGCAGTGTTGATTTAAAGAAAATAATCTTGAATTACACCAAGAGAACTAAAATTTTATGGGTGAAATGGCGCCATGGGGTGACTTCTCTTCCACCCCAAAGCCTTCTCTTCTCCCTTCTCCTCCACCTCCATTCTAATTCCCATCATCATCATCCAAGAGCCTTCTACATACACACCTCAAAGTAAGTGTACTTTTCTACCTTTTTTGTTGAATTTAGGCAATTTTCGGTGAGCTGGAACCAATTACCCAAAAACCCATTGAAACAATGGTTTCGGTTAATGAGTTTTTCGGTTAACGAGCAACCTGCTGGAACGGATTGTGCTCGTTAACCGAGGGACCACTGTACACTAGTAGTAGTAGTATATTTTTGGCCCCCAGGCCTTGATGTGGGTCATTATAAAATGCCTTTGCCCAGGTGGGCTAATGACTTTAAAAAAAAAAAAAAGGAATTATTGCATCTACAGAAGCCTCTTGGTCCTTAACTTTTCTGTCATTTCTGTTATGTATCAGCCAATAATAATGAAATAAACAACTTTTATCTCATTAAGGAGAATATTATTGACAAGTAGCATTGTGAAAAAAGTGTATGTTAAATTATATTGATTACTCGGTATTAAGAGTTTAGAATAGTACACACTATTTTAATGCAAATTAAAATATGGTGCAGGGAGCCAATATCTCTCCTTAAAGATTTGCTATATGTGAGGTTTTAACCTATTAATATTTACCTATTAACTTTGAATGCATCCTTGGCCCAGAAAAATTTGATCTTCTTTTGAAAGAGGAGTAATTTTAATCTGATAGCTCTTTTGACTGGCTGGTCTTGGTATATTTAGCTCACCTTGTCTTAACTGGTAAAGATAAAGCTGATGTGCTAACTATCAGCGAGGGGCAACAGTAGGCAGGTTTGTTTATTAAAATAAGTTTTGGCACAGGTCACACCATCTTTGCAATACCCAACATTCAAATAGGTGATGCGAGTCACTTTTCAACACTCAGAAATTTTACAAATACTGTAGGAGATGGTCTTGCTGTAACACATAATCTAATTTAAATATTTACTTGCAGACATTTAAGTTCAGAACTCACAGAGCATGAAAAACTGATAGACAAAATGGTATCTGCTGATTTCACAAAGTACATTACTGAAGATCTCAATCGACCCCTTGAAGACACACAACCATTACTTGAAGAGGTAAATATATTTCACAGCTAACATATGCGAGAAGGAACATGAAATAATTTATGAAATTTTTAATAGAAAATCTAATCTAAAGACACTTTTCAATTGTGATTAGTTGTGCTTAGTGAATGACTTTGTATAAAGTTTAAAAAGAGATGTCTAGTTTTTTAAATCAGAACTGATTTGACTTAATAGAGCACCATGGTACAGTAGTTAGGAGCTTCATTTGAAGTCTGTGAAATACATGAAACCTGAAAGGTTTAAGGCTTGTTAAGGTCTTACGAAGGGACACTTGCTTCTATCACTTTTGGAAAAAACTAGTGTCTAGAATCCATGGAAGTAGACTTTGTTTAGAACATTTATTTCCATGGGGAAATAGGAAGATCATGTTAAGTAACATTAACAGTAAAACCTTATGCTAAAAATCAGCGGGCCGCAAAATAATGTGGCCAAATTTAAAAACAGACTAAATGTTGTAAGAGTCAGGATTGAAATTACCAAGCGAGTGTAATTATTGAGATATATTTTACATTATATGTTTGAGAATAAAGGCGGTCAAGTTATCTGTATGCCTTGCTGCAATCCACACAAAAATAGTAAAGAAGTTTAAAATGATAGAGAGAGAGAGAAATTTAAAGTTTATTTTCTTGTACCTTTTTTCAGGACCACTTAATATCTGTAGTGTTTGGAGTACTCTGGTTACAAAAATTTGACTTCTTAGATAATTTGAGAGAGGAAATATATACTGCAATAAAAGCTACAGTCAAACAGGTAAGTAATGTATTCCCCTTTACTGTATTGTACTTTATGAATTAATCAGTCAACATCTACTGTAAATTCTAGAAATAACAATACTGTAGCTGAGAATACCATACTGACATATTCCCAGCTGTTGAGTCAAATTTTTCAGATTCTTCATAATATTAGTAAAATATCTATAATGGGTGAACATACATCAACGAAGTGTGGTAAAACTTTCAAACAAACTGTGATTGAGAAGTTTCAAGCCCAAGCAGTATATGGCATGAAATAACAGAAAAACTCATATTTATTGTGAAACTTAAAGAAGGTGCTCAACCAAAAGAATTTATGGGTCTACAAATGGTAAAATAGAAAACCTTTACTTTTATGGGTAATGTAATTGTAAAAATCATATCATTATGAATTAATTTATTAAAGGGAAGATAAGTACAAGGGGTCCAGGAACTAAAGTCCATCCATTAGTGTAGCCTACTAGAATACACCTTGTTTACCTGATTTTAGTTCTTGTTTTGCCTCAGTTGTACAGTGAAATACTGGAGTGCTTCACCTACTATTAATGCTTCAAATTTTCCTGCAAAGAAACTTTAAGTAAACTACAGTATTGGATTCAATGTATACAAATTTATTCTCATCATAAAATGTGGTAGTTGAGTAGCTTTTAGTTTAATGTATACAGAGTATTATATGGGATTTTATGTCCTTTTTTCAGGCTGTTGTTGAGGCTGTGAGTAAGGTTGAGATTGACCAGGAGATAGCAAGTGTTGCAGATCAGGCTCGGGTGCTGACTATTAGTGCTTGGCTCTCTCTCTTGTCAGTTGTTACTTCACGGCTCAACACCGTCATAGCAAGGGTCAAGGTAACTTCTGTATGCTGTGGAAACTGGTTAGATGAAGAGGCTAGGTTTGTGCACCCCCAGAATATAGTCAGTTGTATAAGGGGTCTTAAGGATTAAATAGATGCATTTAGTTTGGTTCTGCATCAACAAATTTGTGGGTTTGACTTCAGGGTTATTGGAAACAATAAGTAGTATCTCTCCTGACTCAACCATAGCCCCTGAAAAGGTGTCTATGTAGTGAAGGGGTTAATGGAGTACAGTATTTGTAGTACCTCCTCCTCCTGCTGCCATTCTACCAGTCTCTCAGTAACAGGAACTGACTGGTGGAGCATGTTTAACTAAATTTGGGAGATCGATCCTGAAATCCCTCCCTCCTTCACTTGATTCATCAATATTCAGCTGGAAACCAATGCAAAATGTTGGTTTGGTCTTGAAATTAAGATGGCCACTGTGGAGATGTACCATGGTGGACTACACTCCCAAATAAGGCCATTATAGTAGTACTGTACAGTAAAAAGAGCCACCTAATGGAGAACAGCTGAATAATTATTGGTACAGTAGGGTCGGGATATATCACGAGATAGGGTCAAGGATGTTCACTAAATACTAAATTGCGATATATAATTACATGTAATTAATGGGGAAGATAGGGTTAGGTTCTGGAGGCCAATAAAAGTGACTAAACTTGGCATAAAATGACACAGTCTAAAGTTAGCAGCATATAAATTACATTGCTGGAATCCTTACAAGACAGCGAACAATTTGAATATATACATCATATATTTTGCACAAGAGATAAAACTTTTAGTCCTTAAATTAAAATGTATTAATTATAACTAAAACTTTTTATGTCTATTGCAAACTATAACATATTTATATTCAAATTAATCACTATCTTACAAGAATTCCAGCAATGTTAATTATATTCTCTTAAGTCAGTTCTTTGACATTTTATAAGAGAAAAACCTAAACTCCCCCTATTTGACATAAATAATTACCACTTGGTAACCTTGGCCGGGGGCTGGCGCCAGCTGTCATAATACATCACCTCCCACTCCAGTTCTGGCAAGATTGAAAGTGGTTTTTAGTTTAAAGTTTTGATCTTATAAAATGTCACAGACTAATTTAGCAGAATATAAATTGCATTGCTGGAATCCTTGTAAGACAGCGAATAATTTTAATATAAACGTCATATATTTTGCACAAGAGATAAAAAAAAATTTAAATCGTATTTTTGGTGTGATTTAGGGGATTTTTAGGAGTGTTTCTGACTTTATACGGTTTTTGGCTTTGTGTGAGGACCTAGGAACATAACCCCATGTAAGTTGTGAGTCTACTGGAAATAAATTTATTGCTATACAGTATATTGGAAAATGTCGATAATTTTGGAAGCCGCGATATAAAATTTTTTTTATATAAAGTCGCTATATATCCCGACCCTACTGTAGTGGCGTAGTGTTTAGATAAATAAGAGAATTGACTTTGGACTGAACAGTATTCCCAAAGTTGGGCAGCAAAAAATATTTCAAGATCTTTGATTGTCCGACAATGACTTAGGCTTACACATTTTTCTTTAGCATATTTGCCATGTTCCTTAACCAAAAGTGGATATTTTCAGGGTATAACAGAGGTAATGGTGCAAACTGTGGAAGCAGGAGCAGGGCGGACACAGCCAGTCACAGAGGGTATTCAGGCTGCATCTTTAGTCACCATGTAAGTCATGCATTTCTGTTTGTTTTATTGACAACTTATATGTTATTGACTTATGTCTCAGTGTAAAACAGTATACTAATTGGTATTATTGTGAAATAATATGATTAGTATCTTATCATTGATGTCTGTCTGTCTTTGAGTGTGTCTGTGTGTAGACATTAAGTTAGAAGCACAAGTCTTTTGTTTTGAATTAAATTTTAATGAAACTTGAGTGGGACCCTGTATAACTTTCTAAAGTGATCAAAACATTTAAACTTAACCTAACCTAACCTAACCTAACCTATTTTAAGAATAGGGCTTACTGTACATCTTCATTCTGGTGTTTGCACCTGTGCTAATTTTTTACTTGGGCAGCTTTAAGTGAAATTAGATCAAGTCAAATTCATTCTTAAGGATATCAGTGAGTTATGTTGCCTGGTGACATGAACATTGCTGAAGGGTGTGCTGAACTTAGCTCATTTGCAAAAGTCAGAAGTGGTTGCAGGAATTTGAGGGAATTGCCTCATTTATTGATGGCTGGAGGACCTTCTATATGCAATTGGTGTAAAAAATATGATGTTGCATGGCAGTGAAACATGGACAGTTAAAGAGGATAATTTACATGGGTTTGAGTAAGCTAAAATGAGAATGGTGAGGTACAGTATGTTATAATGACCCTGTTGTAAGCTGATGTGCTGAGCTTTCAAGGGGTATTGCTGTACATTTTGGAATTTATATACAGCATGCCCTAAACTTCGCAGGGGTTTTGGTCTCAAAATGGCGGCGAATTGCCAAATCCAAAAATGTCATTTGCTTACCGGGGGGATACATTTTTATGGTATTTTAAGTACAGTGAACCTTTGAAGAGCCGGACTAAACGGGGGGACTACATGTCTGAAAAAGTATCTTCTGGGGTCATGCAGAAAGTGTCCGATCCATGCTAGGATATTTCCTCGAATCCCATACACTTCCAATTTAATTCTCAGCCATTCATGGGGTACGCTATCAAAAGCCTTGGCACAAACTAGGTATATATTGTTGACATTTCCGCCTAGTTCCATAATTCTGGTCCAAACGTAAAACCGTGTAGGCATTCCTTTACAAGGTTGTTTTGTAGTACATGTTCCATCATGGCATCTCATATGATGCTCTCTCTTACTTTACATACTATGCTGGTCAGGCTCACTGGTCTTTAGTTTTTCGTGGAGTGACGATCACCCTTCTTGAATATAGGACTCACATAAGTCATCTTCCAGTCAGGATCTTAAGGGGCTCCACAAGCTTGTTACAAAGTTGGGGTGTACCATATCTGGGCTGGGATTCTTGTAAATCTTTAGCTCTGACAGTTTATTTCTTATACAGGAAAGCCTCAAATAATGACGGTAATGTGTCCTCTAATATTGCAGTGTAAGGTGAATCATCATATCGTGAATCATTAATTACCATTAAAATAAAGCAATAATAATGAGATGCATCCCCAAGTGTGACCTTTTCATATCTTTTGTGTGGTTTTTTACCCTCTTTTCCCCTATAACACTAGAGCTATTGAAAAATTAAACTATATTCTTTAAATAATGTTTATGAATGCACCTTATACAATATAAATCAATAATAACAATGTCACCCAAGAGGAGATGGGACGCCATTGTTGTTGTCAGTGTTTACACCCATAATGTCAGTTATCCACCTGAAACAAGAAAAATAAGACCCTGGTTGTTACTGTAGTAAAATTAATGTGAAGCAAATATGTATGTTTTAATTAATATGATTTAATGTACAGTAGAAGTGACCACTGATGGTAAAGAAAAAGTGAGATGGATTGCGTAAGGCCATCATATGTATGTACGCACACATGAAAACATAGCATCATTTCTATACAAAGGAATATGGAAGCAACACTTATTACTGTTCATGCTTATGAATGTAAAACAAAAAATCTACTCACCAATAGTGGTAAAGTCGAACACTTTAGGACAGCCAATGTTGTCGTGAATTTGTTGGTGTGTTCTTTTCCTGTTCTTGTTCAATTTGCACTATTTCTTCATTTGTTAGGTCTTCTCCATCACTGTTTAATAACTCAACATTCTCTTCACCAACTGAACACTTTCTTAAATTTTTTCTTCATGCTTACAGATAGTTTTCCCCGTTGGTTCCGCCATCCCCAAAACGCGTCAATTATCCACAGACCTCTCACCTTTTTCATATCGGTTTAACACATCTAGTTTCTCGGCTCAGCTTATACACTTTCTTTTAGCTTTTGAACCAGCACTACCATCACTTGCTCTCTTGCTCATGTTGAATAGGGATGCAAAAATGCTGTAAGAAACCTGAGAAAGTTTATCTCCTGTTCCTGTTCAGATGCGTGAAAACAAAAGGCTCGCCAGCTGTGACTGTTTATACTAGTGATGCTGGCGTCACCACTCACAAGCCCGGCAGCGTGTTTTTGTTATATATATATATATATATATATATATATATATATATATATATATATATATATATGTTAATTTTAATAAACTTGAGGTACTGGAAAGTGAGGAACGTAAAGTGAATAACATATAACATATGGGATTAATTGAAATGGAGTCCGGCTGATCCCCAAACTCACTTTTACCGCTAACATGCTGCTACTTGCTGCTGCTGCTATATGCCTTGTATATGCTGTATGTAACATATATATGCTGCCATATGCTGCTGTATGTAACAACATATATATATATATACTACTGCTGCTACTGCCTGCCTGCTGCTGTATGCCTTATATATATGCCTGCCTATATATATATATATATGCCTGCTGCTGCTGCTTATATATATATATATATATATATATATATATATATATATATATATATATATATATATATATATATACACACACACACACACACACACACACACACACACAGTTAACCACTCACTTTCTGGCGGTTAATGTAACCCGAGAATACCCTTGGAAAGTGAAGGCTGCCCTAAGTGAATAACATAACATTTGGGATTAATTGAAATGGAGTCGGGCGATCCCCAAACTCCACTTTTTGTGACACACAACTATGTTGTAGTAAAAATTTTATCTTAACTTTATGATGGTATGAAAAAAACAAGAGGAAATATAGAAGGGGATTGAGTTAGGAAAGATAAAGGTTAACATAGGAAAAATAAGGTAAGGTTAGAAAACTAAAATTAGGTGTAACTTCACCGGTAGTATTAGAAAGGGTGGATTCGGCATCTGAGGATGGAGGCTGGTTCGAGGCAGAGGGGCGATTACTGGCACTCAGGTGAGATGTCACCGTACTGGTGAAATCAACAACTACTGTCACTTACAGTTGTCAGGGCTTCCCTGACAAAATCCCTCAAGTCAACTTCACTGTCACTATCCTGGCTTGGGCTGGCTGTGGTGGGTTCTTAGCGGGTGAAGAAATCTGTTATCTTTCCTTGCCTTTGGCTGGCTGGCGTTGATGTTGTATTGATACACACCTTGATGTCTGGCTCCATAGCCTGCACCAGCGATTTATGGAAGAACTTCATGGCGGTCCTCGTCATTGTAGCGGGAAAGGAAGGACTTCACCATCTTCTCTACACACTCCATAACCCTTAATATCACTACTATGACTTAAATTGTTCTTAGGAGACAGCGCACCTTCTTTCTCCTCTTCACTGGCGTGTTCTTCTTCCAACATCACAAGTGCGGCAGTCATACAGGATCTGCTGGTCACCTCCAGGATAATAGTGGTTGGTATTACCGGAGAAGCCTGGAACTTCGCAACATTCATAGCTTCTCAGCAAAGGTCCACTGCCTACTGCAACATTCTGTGAACCTCACCAGTCACAGGGTGTCTCCTCCTCTCACCTGGTATTCCATGCAACACATGTCTCCATACTTGTGACAGATTGCATGGCAATAGACAGCTGATCCCATGACTCCTGCAGAGAGTCCACAGCTTTCTTGATGTTAAACTACTCTCCAGAATTTGTTTGAAGGTATTTTTGCTGTTATAACTGTTGATCCTCATGTACAACATATATATAGGTGGTGGTGTCACTCAGTTCTTACTTAACTCTTCCCTGGTATTTGGTGTAGTCGTTCAGGAGCTGGAATTTTTTGTTGAGAATGCGCTTTTCACGTACCAAAATCAACTCCTGGTCCATGTTGCAATATGGCGTGAGTGTTGGGAGGAAAGGAAGACCACTTTTCATTTGGGGGTGGCGATCTAACAATGAGTAGTGTCTGGTCGTTGTCAGCAGCAACAAAATATTAAATGGGACATTCTGTACGGCTTAAATTTCTTTACGCCGAGGAACGAAACAGTCATCAAACCGGAGACGGTGTAGAAAACATCCATGCCTTCCGTGCTGTCAGCCAGTGGACATTTAACCCCAGTCGCCTGTCCATGCTCTTGTAGGCGTCGGCTGCGGGGAGGGCTGTGTGGATCACCGATAGCAGGCTTACAGGTACCGGGGGCGGTGGTGGTAAACAGGGCGGTGATCGTTCCTTCTGCCATTTTCCGGCCCCGAATCCTGCTGGCATTCTTCTAGCGAAGGACTTGGAAGGTAGTTTTTCCAGAAAGACCAGATTAGTCCATGTTAAACACCTGGTCGTCCTGTATGTACTCATAATCTCGCGTAAGCGGAGGAAATTCCCGAGCCGCAACACGTCAGCACTTTCGCTTCTTCACCACCAATGTTTTATATTGAAGGTGATGCGATTCCCCGGATCTTAAACCCTCTGTAACCACTTGGGCAAGGGTTTTGGGCTCTGAAGTTCCATCTTTGTTACCTGCCATGTACAGTTCGTCGTAGTCCTTAACAGAAGCATTAATGCGACCTTTTCATTTCGTCAGCCCTGGCAGCACCAAATTACCTCACAAGTAATTTTTCTGTCTTGAGAAACTTTAAGTTTGTGAAAATACTTGATCATAGAAGCACCTGTGAACTTTGTGATCTTCATGTGCTCCTATATCTTGGCTGAATCCTTCTTTATAGTCGGATCGTGGGTCGTTCATACATGCTGTGGCATGAAA